GACTTTGAAAATGTGTTGCTATTAAGCTTCAAGTAATACACGTAAAAGAGAGAGTCTCCCCCCTAGACTCCCAGCTACAGGGGCACACCATGCCCAGCCAAGGCTATTAATCCAGCAGCTGTGCACTCTGGGTCCCAGCAGCACCCTAAAGCTGCCAGGATCCAGAAGTCTCTGCAGTATGCCTCCCGGAAAACTCCTGGAGACGGAGGATTGCTGTGAGGACGATTCCCTGATCCAGGGCTGTGATCCTCCAGGCCCAGGGGTTTCAACTGGGTGCTTGGGGCTCCCAGCCACCAGAGCTTGCTTCTTGCTGGCGCAGAGGGAGCACAGGATCAGGCTCCCCCTGCACTGGCAATAAAGCCCGATGGGATCTAATGCATGAGCCCACAACCATGCCTCCTGCTATGCACGTGTGACAAGGCAGGAAGCACAACTGTGTGAATCACACATTAGAACCCAGCACACTGTTACCTACAACTTTAGAGGGGGCCTTAGAGTAACACAGTGCTGGTTTAGACTCCATATAACCATCCACATGAAACAAAGGAAAATACTGGCCTTGTAATTTCTCCCCCCACCTACCTAAATGAATTTCATACTGAAATGCCGAGTGACTGCATTTTGATTTACAGCTGGATTACAGATTACACTTGAAGAGAAAGAATATGGTTCTGGATTTAGAACAATACAACTCCAAAAACGAAATTTAAATCTCCTAGGGATCAGCATGGCTTAAAAGTAATACCTTTAATTCTTTGCTTTTACATTTAGGAATAGATCTTAAAATGTTGCAGGTATTGCACCCCATGCTACATAAATAAAAAAGAGCTGTGCTTCAGCCGAGGTCCTTCATAAATCACCCGTTGAAAAGCAGCGTTGTCCATGCCCTTCATTCTTCTAAAGCAGGTAATTAGAAATGTTATGCAGTTTCATGGGAAGTACTGACCTCTAAAGAGCGAAGGGCTAAGACTCAGACCAGTGGACACACAAGCTCAGAGACCAGAGGGTCCCCGGGTCCAAGAGGTGCTGCAAGCCAGACCAGAATCTGAGCCCAGAGAAGGGATAGAAGTCAGATGAGGTTTCCTGAGCCCAGAGACAGGGGGCTAAATGTGGGACCAGGGTCTGAAAACCCAGATAGGGACCAGGGGTTCAGATGGCCCGAGATGAGATCAGAGAGCCCAAGAGCTGCATGCGTGACCTGAGGGTACCGGAGCCCAGAGGTGGGCTGTGCAGGTGACCAGGGGTCCAAGAGCCCAGACAGAAGGGTTGAAAGTACTGAGGAGCCGGAGAAAGGGCTAAGTAGATGGAGCATCAGAGGACATAATTGAATGATAACATCTGTGAGGCTTGGGATGTGCTGTAGGGGTGCAAGGGTGCCACGCAATTAGCCCTAAAGACTACAGACGGCCTGCAGAGGCATGGGCAGGCTGAGAAGGTCTGTTGGGCCCGAGGGCCGACTTGTCTCAAGTGCGAATCCCACAGGGAGCCAGTTTAGATTTGTACCAACCGTGGCCTACTCTAAGGCCTGTGGGCAACCTTATTTATCTAATCTTTAAACGAGAAGGTGGCCTGGCAGGTGAGCGATTAAGGGAGGTTTAATCACCTTAGGCCCCTGAGCCAGGCAGGGGCCGCATAGCCACTGGGAGGGTGTCATGGCCACCCCTGTGGTGTGGACCTGTCACAGTGATGCAATAAACTCTGGTGCAGCTTCTGCTGGAGCTTACTGCTCCCGGGCGCAGCATTTGCAGGTGCGCCCAGGACCATAGCATGCTGAGCCAGGTCGAAGCAGCCCTGGCTGGCAGGGGGCCCCCAGGGTTCAGCCTGCCAGCCCGGAGCTGCTCCGAATTGCCTCAGTGTGCTCTGGAAGGCTGGCTGGGGCACGAGGGTGCTACAGTGCAGGGCTAGCTGACAGGCAGCCTCCACACTGAAGCACCTTTGTGCCCTAGCCAGCCCCATCATTGTCTACAAGTGTGTTTTGCCACCTCTAATTACACCACTGTAGAATAGTACTTGGGTGTTGGGCAATACTATCCTACAGCAGAGTTAGTTTCCTGCAGCCTG